GCCGCCTTGCAGTTGGCGGCTTCAGTTAGCGGTGTTCCAAATCAATCACGATCTACGAAATAACTGTAGGGCGTTTTTAAACTTTGTCTTTTTCTAGTTAACGTGTTTTATTTTTTTTTAAGGAAAACAAGAAAAGAAAGCGTACAGAAGAAGCGGAGAAAGTGTCAGAAGACCAGTGCTCATCTGTCGTACAAGAACCTCCTGTAAAAGCAAAGAAAGCCCGAAAGAAGGAACTTTCAAAAGCAGAGAAAAAACTGGCAAACAGGTGAGCAGGTGATACCTTTTCATAGTAAGGTTAAAAAACATCATCTAGGTTAATCGTAAGATTATGAGTTCAGTGAAACAATGAAGTTCCGTTCTACTAGTCGTCTTGAACCTTGTGTTTAAGAAGATTATGAAGATTGTGAAAGTTTTCTGTAGTTTGCCCCAGAAGAATACTTCTAACTTCTTGAAGTTCTAGGTCCATGAAGTGCAAAATCCCCTGTTAGAGAGCTAACAGGTCTAAAGGTTGTAGATTTAGACAAAAAGTTCTCTCTGGCACTGCGCAGGGTGACGCTTTCTAACTGTAATCCAGCAGACCTGCGGTCAAAGGAGCAGAGGCGGTTTCAGCAGCAGCAAGGTACCAGGCAGGGTTAGTTGTCCTTGGCACGCTTGCCCCCTGCTGTTGGGGTTACTACTGGGGCGTAACTACTGGGTTACACTGTCCGTTCCCTTAAACACGCAGGGTTGAACCAAGGTGCTGTCGGTGCAGGCGGGAAGCTAGTCTCTATGCAGTGAAGTTTGGATAATGAAGTTTGCTTGATTGTAGCTGGAGGCTGACACCGTGTCCTCTCTCTGACGCTGTGTTGTTGCATCTTCCGCGCCCATCGAACTTGTTTGCTGTTTTGGTGTCAGTAGCCTTCCAGAGACTTCTTTGGATCTGCTTATTGTTCATGCTATTATGGCAAGTTTGGATAGATAGAGATTTGTTAGTGTACGGATGGATTCCAAAGGATTGTCTGTTATGAGTGCCCTGGATACCGGGAAGAATTAAATCTCTCCTTAGTTCTAGCACGCAAAGACGAATTCCCCCCCTCCCCTTTCAATTTTAGAGGATATCAAATGATTTATTTCTGAATTCTTTCTTTGTTACACCTACTAAATAGTGAATGCAATGTCCTGGGGGCAGCAAATAGTTTTCCATGTTATGGAATGGTCAGATATGTTTGATAAATGCATAATAAGCAAAACAATGTTTGAAATTTTATGTTGAATGTAATTTAAAATGTAAGTTAAAATATTTATCTTGGAGGCTTCAGTTCTTTGACCTCAAGAGCCCTGGTTTTTTTCCCCATCGATTATAATTTGCTTGTCTTTTTCCGATAAGAGAGAGTGCTTTGGAGCGGGCAGATGAAGAGGAGGAGCAAAAACTGTTTCAAAGCAAAGCGAAGCAAAAAAAAGGGGCTTCTCATGCCATCACCAAAAGTGTTGTTAATTCAGATACAGGCACTGCTGTAAAACAACAGAAAAAACAGGTGGCTGATGAAACGGTAAACAGAAGAACAGTGTTTGTTGGAAACTTGCCTGTCAACTGTACTGTTCAGGTATGTGAGTAGATTCTGTCAGCTAAAGGAATGAAATGAATTACAACAGTCCCTAGTTTGAGGAGGTGTTACCAGCTGAGAATTCACGTATTTGTGACTAAAACTGCTTTTTTGGGAAAGTAGGAAATAACGCTCGTTATCGGAAACCATTAGAGGCAATCTCTTTTGTTTTACCGGAGTTAGGCTTTTCACAGCAGTGGATGCAGTTGCTCTTTCTGTAGTAGAATTGGTTAGTTTCTTTTTCAGTGAAAAATGACTCAATAAATGAGAACTACAATTACAAAGCTAGAGACTGCTTCTAATTTTGAGTGCAAATAGTACTTCAAATTGTTGCATAAAACACGTTACATTTGTACTTTCTTCCATAGCAAGGGGTATGAATTCAGTTTTGGCAATCTGTAGCATAAGCAGCTGCCACAAGAAACACAGCTACAAATTACTTGCATATTTTTAGTAGCCCTTTAACGGACCTTGTGTAAGTAAAATGAAAATAGTGTAAAAACAATCTTGCTAATAAATATTTGACATTAATTGTTATTACCAGGATGAAAACATGTATTGAATATTTGTAATATCTTCTGTTTAGGCGCTGAAATCTCTTTTTAAAGGGTATGGACAAATAAAATCCATTCGATTCCGGTCTTTGGTAGGTTATTTTCTCTAACGTTACATAACAAAATTATGTTTCTGATCTTAAAGGGTAGTATTCATTAGTTCAGAAGCGGGTTTAGATGTGTATTTTTTGCCACTAGAAGAATCCTTGGAGATTTTGCCACGGAGGCACCACAGATGCATCTTTCCTTTCATCACATTTTACTCTTCCTGTAGCAGCAGTTGATACGATCAGAGCTGGATTTTCTCTGAAAGAAGAATGCTCTTATTATCGCTCATTTAGCTAAGGTATTACTTACCTGTTTTTAAATCATAGTAGCAAAGACACACTGATGGTAAATCGGTGGACTCTGTAAAATAGTTGAAGATAACTGTCTTGGAACTCAAGAAGCGCAACAGATGAAGTCAAGGCGAGCTACCTAATTCTGAGGTCCTTCTAAATCGTCTCTAGGAATAGCCAGTTATAGATCATTTGCTCACTGTGCTGGCTACATTGCTTTGGGTGGGAATAGTACCTGTTTGAATTCCTCTTTGTCTTAAAAAACAAATATTTGAAGATAAATTGACACTAGGCCCACTTAACTAAAGCTCTTTTTATCTTAAAGGTTCCAGCAGAAGATACTTTATCCAAAAAGTTAGCAGCAATAAAGTAGGTTCCTCTTGTGAATTTTGTGCTTTATTTTTCAAGGCAAAAATAGTTTTTTAAGTGTTGTTTGTTACCTATTTGGCTATGTTAATTTTTTAATTTTGTGTTTCTTTGGCTTTTGTAATTACCTTTGCGTGTATGTCAGTTTTCTTGGCAAGTGAAAAATAATTATGTGCCCAGTATACTAGTAAGTAATTTGTTATCTTAGGTTGCATTTCCTATATTTTAGGAAAGAGGAAGACTCTAATAGTCTTTAATTCCTTTGGATATATTTATGAGTTGAGGAAGCTCGATCAGGGTGCATATACGGGCTGTATAAGATGTACAGTGAGACTCCCTTGGACGTGAGGGGCTAGCCTGACCTCTAAGAGAAATGAAGTTGTTACTGTGCACAAACAAGAGGAGGCATAAACGTGTTTAACAAGAAGTGCTTGTGCACTGCACACTGTCAGAATTATTTAAATGATATGCGTCTTTTTCATGTTCCAGGCATAAAGTGCACCCTAATGCGAAGTTCGTTAATGCTTATGTTGTATTTAAGGAAGAATGTGATGCCATTAAGGCTTTAAATGAGTAAGTCCCAGTTTTGTTCCTCATTCCCTGTTGAAGAGGTAGATTTACAGAGTGTTAACAGATAAATTTAAACTACCTCCTTTCTTTTGCTTGTTTTTTCAAACTTAAAAGTAAATTTGCTTTTGGAATAATGCTATGCAGTGACATTGTAAATTAAGTAACGCTCATTTCGTTTTTAAAACTTTTTCCTTTTGGCTACAAAAGAAATGGAACAGAAATTGCTAGTGGATTTCACATCAGAGTTGACATTGCGTCAAAAACCAGTTCGGTAAGTAAGATGTGTGACTAGAAGAGCCCTTTTCCGTTTTGTTTTTTTTTTTTTTTCCTGTAGCAAATAACTTACTGCCTCCTATCTCTTGATTTCTTTAGCATGACAATAAACGATCTGTATTCTTGGGAAATCTCTCATATGGTAAGTCTAAAATGGATTGTTATGCATCATTACTTAATATTTATGGCATATGTTGACATTAGGGTTTTTTTACTTATTGATATTTAGGGTAGCATGTTTAGGTAGCTAAGTATCTTTTGCTGGAATTAATTTTTTAAATAGCAGTTGTATTTTTTTAACTGAAACACCTAAAGGGGTTGTAACTTTCTGGCAAGTTCTGCAGATTAATTGTTTTCTTTATTGTAGCTAGAACTGCAAGCACTTTTAGTTCTTGTCGTCGCTCAACGTTTTTTAAATAAATATGACTAAACTGCACAGGCCATAGCTTTCTAAACTGTTAAACGTGTACTGGTACCTGTTTGTGAACTACTTCCAAGTGATACACAGTGATGGCTTCTCATTTTGATGCTGTCTGTGAGCCCCAGGGTGAGTGACTCTGTCCAGGCACCTGTTGGCAATCAGTTGTTACCCGCGTGGAGGTGCTTACTGTGTAGTCGAGGTCAGTGCTTGATGAATATTCAGCTGCTTCCGAGTAGACTGGAGAGTAGGTGAAGGGGTCGCCATCAGGTGTGGTCCGTATGGGGGTATTCGTGGAGTCGGGACGCTTGGGACAAGCATCTTACTTGGGGGTGGTGTGGATGCGTAAATATACAGGATGAAGGCATGCCCTGTGCCTGTGGCCTGACGCAGAGCCGGTATCACGTGCTGCTGACAGTAATGCTGAAAGAAACAGGCTTTAGACTTCAGCCTAAAACCTGACCTGTCTGAAGATCTGGATAGGTCACAAATCTGACTGTGGTGACGTTACTAATGCCTGTTGTGTAGAGCTTGTGTCAGTACTGTATGTTCCTCTGTGCATCCGGCAGAAAAACCAGTTCGGACGTTTGCAGTGCTCTGAAAATCACTTCAGCAGCTTGAACCTTTCTCGGCACATCTAAGTCCCGTTGCTGTAATTAAACCTGTACTATTAAATTCAGCCCCTCCCCTTTACGCAGATAGAATCGTACCTCTGCTAAGGGATTTACCGTAGTACGAAGCGTACCTGTACAGAAAAGAGAATAACCTGTATTTTTGGTTTGGTGCATCACACTTGTCTCTTCGCTTAGGCGTGAGACTGAGAAAGCCTCACACATCCGGCCATTATCAGAATAATCGTGTAGCAACTGTGGTTGGAAACTGTAAATCCCTTCTGCCCCATTCAGCTAAAATTCACGGCTCAGTCAATGAGCATTAGACTTCGAGAGCTGCCAGCTCAAGCTCATTGTCATCAGCATTAATTCTTAGAAAGAGATTCTGGCATAAGAAGGAGCTACAAAAATGTGGGAGGAATCTTAATTTCCACTATGTTCGAACCATAAATCAAATGATTTGAAAAATTTATTTCGGTCTTTGCCTTCGTTCTTCTTTGTGATTTACGTTGTACTCTTCAAAACTAGAGAATCGGTAACTGTCAAAGTAAATAGCCCTTCATAAAGTCTGCGTTGTTAACTTGCTGGAATTTTTCTGA